GGCGAAGGGTTGGCTATGCGCTCTCACTCCCAGGTGTGAGAATTCGAGGCCAACCTCATCCGCCCCGTCATGACTCACCACTGCCAATTTTCGAACGGTAATAACCAGCGCCTAACAAGCACGTGCTCAAGTTAATATCACGAGAGCCCTCAATGTCAAAATCACGCATGTCCCGTGCCAAATACGTTCTACAACCGTCGTTCTTGTTCAGACACGAGGCCGTGGCCTGGCGTGCTTTGTGATACATCGATTTATCTGTGGTTTAAACCTATGTTGAGGTAGAACGCTGTATGAGCTTTTAGACGTTGCCAAGTTTCCTTCGATAAAAACCGAATTTACTCGAAAAATTGAGATTACTTTTTCTCAAAAATTTCAGAAAATTTTGTACGCAATTTAATCTAAAATATCTGAGAACGTCAAAGAAAAATGTGCATGAATGCTGTCATAAATACATTTTATATCAAGGGAAATTTGGCAATTATCGAATGTTCATACGGCGTTCTTCCTTAGCACGGCAGTATGGAAAGGGGGTTGTTTGCAACGATCATCCTAATAATCGATTCTTTACCATGGGTTCAAACGGGAAAATACCGATAATCGGTCATCTACTCCTCGCCACTGGGATAGGTCATCCTCAAGCCTGGCAAAAATTTTTACTTTCAGACCCACCAATCCGTCGCCATCGTTGCATAAGGACGGAACTAAAGTGTGCGATGAACCCTGTAATCCATATATCTCAATGCTTTTCCCGGCTCATCTTTATGTGTACTTACGTCCTTGTGTCAGCCAAGTAGCAAACGTCTGTCGTCTATTGTTTAAGAATTAAGATACTGTGCGGAGGATAAATTATTTTAAGTAGTCCTCTTTCTTGCAAATCACCCACTTCACAAAGACTCCTTTTGCTTTATGGTCCGATAAATATGGAATTCTGCCAGCCGTTTCGGCCTTTTCCTCCCACAAAATTTTGCTTTTCTTTGCCAATATGCAAATAATTGCTTTGTGTCAATGAGCGAATTCACGAAGAAGCAGGCAAAGCCGTCTTTATATGGTCATGATATGATTTTCAAAATTGGTATCGATACAGCCGTTGATCGGTTTTGGGGTTCAAATGAGCCCTTTCCGTTGCCATATACAAAACTCAACTGAGAATCATCCGCGGCAATACAAATTGGTCTAAATTTTGCGATTAGAAATTATCATTTCTGGTTCATCGATGAAAAAACTTATTTGTGTGGTAAAATGATGGTGAAACTACCACCCCACGTATCTCGGAAACCCCGATTTTTGAGGAGAGCAAAAAAACTGTCTCCGTTCCTTCTTTGTGATGATTTAAAAGGTAATAATTCTTGGATGCAGAAATGATAAGATGCTTTTCACCATGCCTTTAGTATTTTTGAAAATAGCCCCAACAGTTAGGAAATACGGAGAAAACCTCGAGTTATGTGTTTTGCGAATTAGGAACCAACACTATTACCTCGAGATATATGTGAATTTCGAATTCAAGTTTTGAGCATGTCACTTGAAGATTTTGATCGATTTAAGGCTTAGCAAAGAGTCATATTGAACAGTGTGCTTAATTTAATTCACTGGAGGCTTCTATTGATCCTACAGCTAGACCAGTCTAGATCAGTCATCGTGTTTCTAGTAATTACTATACTTTTAAATGCCACATGGCGTTGTAAGAAGTATATATAGGTAAAAGGTTACCCTCTTAAATGACTATCCTAAGACATATAAGAATACACAGTAGTCTTGCGAAGCAAAAAGAATTGCGCCAAAAATGTACCCAGAAACGGTTTGCAGGGGGTGAGTCTACGGCACGTGTGGACACAAAATCGTGAAAAATCAAAATCTTGGTTGATCCTAATTTCGAGAAATTGCGTTTTGAAATTTGTATAGTAAATGCAAGTTTTCTACTGAGATTTTGATCCGCTGCTTTATTTATTTGTCCATTGAATCGGTGTTGATGGGTTCACGGTTTTATTGGCGCGTATACGTAGTATACCGCCTTTGCGATCGTTTCGACCCCCCCCCTCGATACAATAACCGAGTCCCCTAGTTCCTTACCGAAAAGTGACTACCGCGAACTTCTGAGATTTTCCAAAGCGTGTAAAAAGTTTACTAATCCGTCAATAATAATGATTAAAATTTGTTTCTCATTCTGGGGCTCGCTAGTTTATGTGTAATGAATACCAAGAGTCTACGTTTCTTGGTTTTTTTTAAAAAAACCTTAGAATGGGGCGCGCTGATTTAAAATATGCATATATAAGCGGAAGCAAGCGAACTGATTCGAGGATGGCTGACCAGTTCGGCACTCCTTGAATGAGAATTTCACTCACTCCGTTTTGTTCACAACGTTGCTTTGACATATCTCCACAACACTGTTATCCTTTTCAAAAGTTGGTACTCCTTGCTCTGATAGCCGGGGCCACCAGGATAGTGGTAAGTGCAATCTGTGATGAGCCTCGAGACTCATTAGACCATTTGCTAAACGTGGCTCATACAGGAGTCCACTAAGCCCTCTCGTCCCCACGCTCCTGATCACTGCGTCGGCGTCACGAAGAACAATGGGCCTTGGGTCCCAACGCGGCCGATACCCGTACCCCAATTACTCACGCTTCATTAACCATTTCACCGTCACGCTAGGATTCATCCAATTTTCAAAAAAAATTGTTTCGCATGTATTTAGCAATTTTTTCCTTACTCTCCGTTAAAACACAAATAAAAAGAGACCTCATTCATAAAAATCGGCCGAATAGAAGAGAAGTTACAGTAATCGAAATCCGAAGAAATCAACAAAACCTCGACTCCTCGATACGAAAAATAAAATGAAGGGGAAAAAAAGAAAGTATAAATTACAATTAAATATAATTGACCTCAAAATTTGACAAACAATTCATTTATATACCTAACGCTGAAAAAACTGGGAGAAATTACAAAAAATTTGCCTCTTGCAAGGGGCTTCTTTGTAAGAATTTTGACCTGAAGACAACGGTCGAATAACAGCAGTACTCCATACAATACACGGTGTGCCTGAACGAGTTAAACATTTTTCATACGTCCAAATCGAAAAATCTTTATATTTTTAACTACAATGT